AAAGCATTGGCATAGTCAATAAAGTGGAAGTAGATGTTTTTCTGAAGTTCTCTTGTTTTTATTATGATCCAACAGATGTTGGAAATTTGACCTCTGGTTCCTCTGCCTTTTCTAAATCCAGCTTGAGCATCTGTAAGTTCTCGGTTTGCATACTGTTGAAGCCTGGCTTGGAGAATTTTGAGCATTACTTTGCTAGAACGTGAGATGAGTGTAATTGTTTGGTACTTTGAACATTGTTTGGCGTTACCTTTCTTTGGGAAAGACAGGTAGGTAGATAGATAGATGCATATATACATGTCTTATTTTGTGAAAGGTATGACATCTGAGTCTTTAAATTAAAGCTATTAAATTAAAGGTATGCAGCCATTAAAAAGAATTCATTTGAATCAGTTCTAATGAGATGGATGAAACTGGAGCCCATTATACAGAGCGAAGTAAGCCAGAAAGATAAAGACCATTACAGTATACTAACACATATATATGGAATTTAGAAAGATGGTAACGATAACCCTATATGCAAAACAGAAAAAGAGACTCCCATGTATAGAACAGACTTGTGGACTCTGGGAGAAGGCGAGGGTGGGATATTTCAAGAGAACAGCATTGAAACACGTATATTATCTAGGGTGAAACAGTTCACCAGCCCAGGTTGGGTGCATGAGACAAGTGCTCGGGCCTGGTGCACTGGGAAGACCCAGAGGGATTGGGTGGAGAGGGAGGTGGGAGGGGGGACCGGGATGGGGAATACATGTAAAAAAAAAAAAAAAAGATACACTATGGTTGTGATAAAAAAAAAAAATAAATAAATAAATAAAAAATAAAAAATAAAAAATAAATAAAAAAATAAATTAAAGGTATGACATCTGAGGCCTTAAATTAAATCATCTCAAAGGGTTTTATCATTTATTAGAGTAACATTTTTAGTCTCTTTCTATCTAGCTTGCTCTTTAGTTTGTCTGCTCTTATTTTCTAATCTTATAATGAGAATGCTGGTAATCAAGCATGTTAAAACCTGCTTATTTTAAAAATAGACTCTGAGTGAATGCTTAAATGAGTTTAGAATGATTTTTTATTATATGTGGCCTTTGTGACTGGTCTTAGCTTTTAAAAACTAGATTGAATTTATCTTTGTTTTGTCGTTTTGTTTGCTCTTTCTATGTCATGTAAAGTTCACGCATAGATCATATCTGAATTAAGATAAAAACAGCAAAACACATGAAAAGATGCTCAACATCACTCATTATCAGAGAAATGCAAATCAAAACCACAATGAGGTACCATTACACACCAGTCAGGATGGCTGCTATCCAAAAGTCTACAAGCAATAAATGCTGGAGAGGGTGTGGAGAAAAGGGAACCCTCTCTTACACTGTTGGTGGGAATGCAAATTAGCACACCCACTATGGAGAACATTGTGGAAATTTCTTAAAAAGCTGGAAATAGAACTGCCATATGACCCAGCAATCCCACTTCTGGGCATACACACTGAGGAAACCAGATGTGAAAGAGACACGTGCACCCCAATGTTCATCGCAGCAATGTTTATAATAGCCAGGACATGGAAGCAACCTAGATGCCCATCAGCAGACGAATGGATGAGGAAACTGTGGTACATATACACCATGGAATATTACTCAGCCATTAAAAAGAATTCATTTGAATCAGTTCTAATGAGATGGATGAAACTGGAGCCCATTATACAGAGCAAAGTAAGCCAGAAAGATAAAGACCATTACAGTATACTAACACATATATATGGAATTTAGAAAGATGGTAACGATAACCCTATATGCAAAACAGAAAAAGAGACTCCGATGTATAGAACAGACTTGTGGACTCTGGGAGAAGGCGAGGGTGGGATGTTTCAAGAGAACAGCATCAAAACACGTATATTATCTAGGGTGAAACAGATCACCAGCCCAGGTTGGATGCATGAGACAAGTGCTCGGGCCTGGTGCACTGGGAAGACCCGGAGGGATCGGGTGGAGAGGGAGGTGGGAGGGGGGACCGGGATGGGGAATACATGTAAATCCATGGCTAATTCATTTCAATGTATGACAGAAACTACTGCAATGTTGTAAAGTAATTAGCCTCCAACTAATAAAAATAAATGGAAAAATAAATAAATAAATAAAAACAACAACAACAAACAGCTGAATTAATTTTAATTATCACATTTTTAATCTGGAATACAAATCCTATTTTTATGTGGATTTTTAAATTTTTTTCCTCCTGTGGAAATTATGGCTTAAGAAAATGGAAGATTTTAAAATGCAACCACAGAGATTACTTTTAATTCCCACACTCGTAACCTTGGTCCTTTGAGATTCAACAGACTGAGAGGCAGACCTTAATTCCACACCCAAAACCAGAAGTGATGATTGTCACATGCTGGGTAGCTGAATTGATTAAAGTGAGAGTCAGAGAGGTTTCCATGTCCATCATAGCTGACCGGGTTTAAACTAGTAAGCTGATCATACAAAGGTTGACAGGCTGATATTAGGTAAAGCAAAGCAGCTTATTCATCATTTCTGAACATTTTGTCAGATGAATGAAGGACAAACAACAACAAAAGTATAAAAGTGGATCTCTTTTCATGATTCTATAATTGGATGAAATATATTTATTACATGTGAAGAATTGAATATGTTGGGGTGTTTGGGGGGGTCTGATCTTAGAAAAAAAGACTTCCTTTCCTATCTGAATTCAGAACCCATTGAAACTCACAACCAGAGAGTAGAGCAGTTAGAGATCACAGTAGCACCTTGATTGCTGACAAAGCTATTATGTTGAAGAGTATTTGTGAACACAGGAGACTTAATCCTAAAACCTAGTACCTAACTGACTACTCACCCACTGGGATGGGCCTCTCTAAATCAGCAGATTTGGATAGGGGCTTCCCTACAGGAAAGAGATGGGCCCTATAGGCCAATTTCTCTTTACCAGTCCTTCTATCTAAGTCATCCCAGTTCTCCAGAGTGGAGTGAATTAGGGAACAGAGAGAGGCAGGAGAATTCAGCTAATGGTGCTGCTTTCACATGGAAAAGGGGCATAAGGGGTGGAAAATATACATCTCTAAGTATCAGGGGTGTTTATAGACATCTGAAGTCCAGTAATTGTTGTCTGCCTATGTATGGTGCTTTATATATGCTAGGTTGTTTAGTAAGTTACCCCTTTTTGCCCCAACCCAATCCTACAAATATTGTGAAAGAGTAATTATAAATATTATTACATACATTTTATACATGAGAAAATGAAGCCATAGAGAACTTACTTAGCTCATTCAGAGAGTCATAAATGATAAGATCTTATATCCATTCTTCCCACATCTCAGTTTCTCATGTTAATAAACCTGAAAATACTTATCCAGGCAAGTAAGATTTCTTCATTGAATATTGTTCTGAAGTTGTATTGGTTGATAATTGATTGATAAAACAATTAGACATGGAGGGGAAGAATGGGGGAAGGGATAGTTAGGGAGTTTGGATGGACATATATCTTGCTATATTTTAAATGGATAACTAAGAAGGACCTACTGTATAGCACATGGAACTCTTCTCAATGTTATGTGGTGGCCTGGATGGGAGGGGAGTTTGTGGGAGAATGGATACAAGTGTATGTATGGCAGAGTCCCTTTGCCACTTACCCTAAACTATCACAACATTGTTAATCGACTACTCTAATACAAAATAAAACTTTTTTTAATGTTTTATTTTGAATAATTTTAGATTCACAGAAAAAGATCTAAAATTAGTACAGAAAATTCTCTATATGTCCTTTACTCAGTTTCCTCTAATTCCAGCATCTTATATAATTATAGCATAATTTTCAAAAATCAAAATTGATATTGGTACTACACTATTAATGAAACCTTACTCAAATTTTACCATTGTTTTCAATATTGCCTGAATATTTTTGAAGGCAGCAAGTGTATTATATTCATTTTCACATCCGTAGTGCCTTCTGTAAGTCTGGTCTAGAATCCGGCATCAGTAACTATTGTTGTTTAGTTGCTAAGTCGTCTGTCCATGGGGCTTCCTAGGCAAGAATACTGGAGTGGGCTGCCATTTCCTTCTTCAGGGGATCTTCCTGACCCAGAGATTGAACCCGCATCTCCTCTGTCTCCTGCACTGGCAGATGGGTTCTTTACCACTAAGCCATTTATAGGATCATAAATGAATATATTTTGAGATTCATACTGTTCATACAACATATGTATGTTTGTGTGTATATAGGTGCCATAGGTTTAGAAGCATATACAGAAGTCTGAAGCTGTGATTTGAACGAATGTTATTTAGAACTAAATTTCATATTAGACTTGGTAAAGCAAAGCCCTTTAAAACTGAAAAATTTTCAGAAACAGAAGAGAATGTATGAATCAAATTGAAAGAAAAATACATACCTTGGAAGGTAGTAAATAGGCAAAAGGCTATAATGTGACATTTATTTTTATTTTATTAATTGTGCACATGTGTGTTCATGCATGTACATTTCATACCTCACTTTAGTGAATGCCTGAACAGGAGAAGCAACACTTTCTGGCAGTTAGTCCTGTGTTTCTAGGCAGATCACAGGTTGTAGAAGTTAATGTTAAATCAAATCATAGAAGCTCTCTTGTTTGAAGAGGACATCCAACCTGATGCTTTTAAGTCTTCTATTTTCTTTTGCACTGAGTTCAAGAGATAGCATTAATGAAGTGTTGATTTTATTATCACAATATTTTCTATCATTTATAACCAAAGAATGTGAAAACAGGAGAGAGGCAATATTCTAAGCACAAAATTATTCTTAAGCTTAGTGGACTCAAAAATAGCCACCTTTCTGTTTCCTCAATCATCTTTTAACCAAACTGAAATTTATATGAAAAAGTGTAGAAAGACAAAAATATGGCATCATTCTTAGCTAAGCAAAACAAATATACAAAATTCTTATGAGAACTATTTTTTTCTCAAAAAGTTCAACTTATAAAATGATTTAATCATTTTATTATTGTTATTTAGATGGAAGACGTCATAGCACGCATGCAAGATGAAAAAAACGGAATTCCCATTCGTACTGTCAAAAGTTTCCTCTCCAAGATACCTAGTGTCTTCTCTGGTAAGTCTGCATTCAGTGTAACACTATTTCCTCCAGCACTTTTCACAAAACTATAAAATCTGTTCTAACCATTTGCTTGTTGAAGCTCTCTCTAACCCATTATTCAATAATTATTTATAAAAACTCATGACATGGTCAACATTATGTTGGATACTTGACAGTAAAACAAGTCAAAACTGCAAAAAAATTCATAATCTTACCAAAATTTAATTGCAAAAATGTAATAAATAAATGTGAAATAATGGAAAATAATATTAAAATAAAGATGTATGAACCAGTATGATTTAGATTATATACAGAAGTTAGGAGGGTGACTGAAATCAATGAGGAGTCCAGAAAGGTTCCTAAAGAGTAGTGATAAGCTGAGTTTGAAAAATGAAGAATTTTATCAGGCTTAAGACTACTACTGCAACCAACTCTGCATGTAGAACTTGGAGGGACCAAACTGCTGAGAACTGGGTGGATAGATGGGAACAGCTAGAGTTGGGTCAAATAATGAGGGTCTTTGAAAGCCAACCAAAGAATTTAATTCTGATACAGTGGGAAATATGGAGACATGTACAATGTTTGCCAAGAATGTTATGATGAAGGTGCTTAGAAATATGTGCTCTGGCTCCAGGAGACAGTGAATGGCCAAGCTCAGGGGATACGGGTGTGCTCTGGCCCTGGCTTGCACAGCTTAGAGAAGAGAACAAAATCAGAAAGACCAAAGCCTTAGCAGTGATTAAGCACAGTAAAGAGGCTGGTGCTGAGCATGTGGAGGGGAGGGTGTTTGATGAGAGTCATCAGCAAGAGTTGTACAATGCTTCCTTGTGAACAAGGATCAAAAGAAGACCAATGGTCAGGAAGAATTCAGCCTTGGGACTATGCTAATAATTAGGACCAGAACACAAGTAGGCAGGCCCAGATGTTGGTGTTTAATAACTGCATTGCTCTCAGGTGAAAGAGAGCAATGGAGCAGATGAGGGCTGAAACAGAATGATATTTTGCTTTAATGAAATGTATTGTTTTTTTCTTCCGTTACTGTCTTTTAAACCCACTTTGTTCTAGTTTCTTGTTCTTCCTTGGTGATGCCTTATATTTTCCCACATCTGGGACTTCCTTCATCACTCACCCACTTCCAGACTTCCAGGTCATTCTGACCATTAAATACTGTCCATTCTTCAACAGTTATCTCAGAACGCTCTTTGGAGAAAACTATTCTGAACTTTTTTCTCTGTTCTATCAAAACATTTGTTGTTATTGTTTTGCCTCTATTATTATACCTCACCTTGGCTTATAGTTATTTTCTCTATGTCTTATACGTGCGTGAGTGCTAAGTCACTTCAGTCGTGTCCAGCTCTTTGTGACTCTGTGGACTGTAGCCTGCCAAGCTCTTCTGTCCATGGGATTCGCCAGACAAGAATTCTGGAGTGGGTTGCCATGCCCTCCTTTAATATATCCTGTATCCTCAAGTAACTTAAACTCCTTGCCATCAGTAACTTAGAGAGTTAGCTTTACCTTTAAACACAAAATGTGAAAACTACTTGTTATTTTGTCAACCATTGAAAAAGAGAGCGTATCTCCTTAAAATACATGAATACAGGGTCTGTAAACTGAAATGCTTTCAGAATCCAGGCACATAAGTTCACTAAGTGTCCCATCTGAACTGGGATTGTGGTCAATTCAGCAGTGCGTAGCCAGCTTCCCTGGTGGCTCAGTGGTAAAGAATTCACCTGCCAATGCGGAAAACATGGGCGTGATCCTTGATCCAAGAAGATTCCGCATGCTGTGGAGCAACTAAGCCCATGCACCACAGCTATTGAGCCTGTGCTCTAGAGCCTGGAAACTGCAACTCCTGAAGCCAAGGTATCCTAGAGCCTGTGCTTTACAACGGGAGACTACAAATAGACTACAAACAGTGAGAAGCCTGAGCACCACGGCTGGAGAGTAGCCCCCACTCGCCGCAACTCGGGAAGAGCACACGCAGTAACAAAGACCCACCACAGCCAACAATAAATAAAAATAAATAAAACTTCTTTAAAAAACAGTGTGTAGCCCATCCAAAGGCCTTTCAGTTCAGGAGTTTTCCTGACAATATACATGTGCAAAAATGGCTGAATGTAAAAGGACTGCCCATCAGTTTAAGCTGATCTTCAGGTTCGAGTTATCTGTTATAATGGCAAATTTAAAATTTTAGTTGAGTTCTTCAAGTAACAATGCCTCATGCAATTCCAATACAGTTCCAGTATAATATCATATTAGAACTCTGGACTGACAATATTAAATCTTTAATTAAAAAGCAAGAATGAAATTGAGCCGTGAAGTGCCTGATATTGTTTTAAGTTTCATTAATATACACCAACAATGTTTGTTGTGAAATAAAGAGAATGTTCAATGACATTGTTCATATTACTATAATTAGTTTCTAATTATCATTCTCTGTTTCCTAGAAACATTTAGGAGCTTTTTGTTTCACAGTTTCAACTAGAAGCTCTGTTGTAGATTTAATTTGTATGTCTCGTATTTTACCAACCTCTTTGTGTTGATATCCCCAAATTATAATGGTCTGAATCCTCTCTACTTTATTAGTAGTTTTTGGTCATTTTTAGTAATTTTCCTCTTCTTCTATTTCTTATGGTGATTTGGAATTAATTCCTGTGTTTTTTGTGGCCTGACTTGCTACCTACTGCTTGCTCTCCTGCCTCTTTTTGCTTCTCCTTCTCTTTTCCATCTTTTACTGCAGAGTTGCTAATGAAACAAGGAATCTACTAACTTTAGGCCCTTAGGTCAATCAGAAACCAACTGTGATGAGTGATGTAATGTATGAGAGGAGGGTAGTGTGATTGTTGAGGGAAGGAGTCTGGTTTTTTTTTTTTTTAATTTTTTTTTCATTTACTTTTATTAGTTGGAGGCTAATTACTTTACAATATTGAAGTGGGTTTTGTCATACATTGACATGAATCAGCCATGGAGTTACATGTATTCCCCATCCCGGTCCCCCCTCCCACCTCCATCTCCACCTGATTCCTCTGGGTCTTCCCAGTGCACCAGGCCGGAGCACTTATCTCATGCATCCAACCTGGGCTGGTGATCTGTTTCACCCTAAATAATATACATGTTTTGATGCTGTTCTCATGAAATGTCCCACCCTCGCCTTCTCCCACAGAGTCCAAAAGTCTGTTCTGTACATCTGTGACTCTTTTTCTGTTTTGCATATAGGGTTATCATTACCATCTTTCTAAATTCCATATATATGTGTTAGTATACTATAATGTTCTTTATCTTTCTGGCTTACTTCACTCTGTATAGTGGGCTCCAGTTTCATCCATCTCATTAGAACTGATTCAAATGAATTCTTTTTAACGGCTGAGTAATATTCCATGGTGTATATGTACCACAGCTTCCTTATCCATTCGTCTGCTGATGGGCATCTAGGTTGCTTCCATGTCCTGGCTATTATAAACAGTGCTGCAATGAAGATTGGGGTGCACGTGTCTCTTTCAGATCTGGTTTCCTCAGTGTGTATGCCTAGAAGTGGGATTGCTGGATCATATGGCAGTTCTATTTCCAGCTTTTTAAGAAATCTCCACACTGTTCTCCATAGTGGCTGTACTAGTTTGCATTCCCACCAACAGTGTAAGAGGGTTCCCTTTTCTCCACACCCTCTCCAGCATTTAGGAGTCTGTTTTGTATGAACCGTTCCATTAGGGAAAAACTGTCTCAAATATTGTTAACCTGTTTCCTTTAGTTTACCCATTTATGCTCCCTAAAGCCTTGATGAACAAAGCAGTGTCCATGAACCAGTAGTATGAGCATCACATGGGAATTTATTAGAAATACAGCATCTGGGCCCTTTCCAGACCTATTGAATCAGAACAAGAGTTTTAACTAAAGTGTAAGAGGTATATCCAGTAGTCATGTATGGATGTGAGAGTTGGACTATAAAGAAAGCTGAGTGCCAGAGAATTGACACTTTCGAACTGTGGTGTTGGAGGGGACTCTTGAGAGTCCCTTGGACTGCAAGGAGCTCCAACCAGTCCATTCTAAAGGAAATCAGTCCTGAATATTCATTGGAAGGACTGATACTGAAGCTGAAACTCTTAATACTTTGGCCACCTGATGTAAAGAACTGACTCATTGGAAAAGATCCTGATGCTGGGAAAGATTGAAGGTGGGAGGAGAAGGGGACAACAGAGGATAAGATGGTTGTATCGCATCACCAACTCAATGGACATGAGTTTGAGTAAACTCTGGGAGTTGGTGATAGACAGGGAGGCCTGGCGTGCTGCAGTCTGTGGGGTCGCAAAGAGTTGGACACGACTGAGTGACTGAACTGAACTGAAGAGGTACTGCCAGGCTAGGCTCCAGGCCAGCACTGGGTGCAGCTGCCAGCCTGTCTGTGCAGAGCTTTCTAGTTCCCTTTCAGGGTCCTGCTTATTTTTTCTGGAATCTGTCCTCAGTCAAGCCCACCCCAGTTTGCCTATTGGTTCTTTGTTGTTTTGGTTTTGTTTTGATTTATATCGCTTGCAGAAGGGATTCGAAAGAAAATCTAGTTCCTTCTATTTCGTTTATGCCAAGCCAGGAACCTCATCAAGCTCTAAGACTGAGGGATGTTAACAGTTAGGTGGAGTTACCCGACTCTACTAGGCAGCACCCATGCATAATAATATGTCATGATGACCAATAATGCTCACATCTGCCTCAGGTGAAAACAGCTGTATTTTGAACACGATGATGCGAATTCATCTTCTCACAGCAACTGAGAGCCAAACTCAGAATCATGGCTGTTATACGGATGGACTGCGGAGATTTTTTGTTTGTTTTTCCCTACCTCTTGATAAATGCTTTCCTCCAGCTAAACATCCAAGACTTCTCTATTTTGGTTTTGGGGTTGTTAATTTTAGCCTCCTGGTTTCCATGGTCCCAACATCAGAAGAAAAATATTTGGATGAACACTCCACACTGATCTCTTGAGCTATGGGATAGATGTCTTTGGGTAGGACAGTGTTCCATCACAG